GAGGACCTATCCACGTCATCATTTACCCAGAATGCTTTGCATGTAAATAAAATGGCTCAGTCCATGTAATGTATTTTAAAAAAATTAGTTTAAAAAGTCAAAAAACTGAACATCCTACGGTATTTTTACAGTCTTTATTTTACAGTTAAAATAAATGTTTGTCAAATAAAGTCTAATGTTACAACTAATCGTGGATCCCTTTAATGAAAGATTTCTTTGATTTGGTCTATGCAGAAACCCCTGTGGTTCAACATGTTGGTTAATCTTCTAAACTCTGCTAAAAGAAAAAGATCAAAATTATAATCTTTGAATGAAAAGTTTTTCCTCTCGTTCTCAGTCGTCCTCCACCTCCAGTCAAGATGATGAAAAGTCAACTCTGGAGGAGGTGAGTGAAGGAGCCATTCCCATTGATCAGCCCACTCTGGGTCCCTCCACCCCGGGCAGCCAGGGGCCTGAGTTTCCATTTCAGAGCCACTCACAGTCCCAGGGTCCTGGACTCAACAAGTCCAGCTCCTCTCCAGAGCTCCAGACGCTTCCCGAGGCCTTCGCCAAAGCTAACCTGGAGTCTGAGAGCACGCAGGGAGATGTCTCTCGACCCAGAGCGCCCTCAGATGGCAAACCTCCAGCACAGCAGCCTCATTTTGAAAAGGACAAGGTGAAGGGGAGCACAGGAGGGGATGTTAATGGGCCGGGACGTCAGAACCAAGCAGAAGGCTCCGGTCCGTCATCTCAGAGCGGAGGGTTGAGGTTGGCTTTTCCACCAGTACCAGCCCAGTCTGGACCCATCTCTCCTGGCGGAGGCCACCGACCCAGAGGTCACACCATTTCTGTTTCAGCACCTTCCTCCAGGAGAGAGAGGAGGACAGAGAGGGACTCCTATCACAATCGACCCGGACCCAGCAACACGGAGAAGATGTCTGGACTGAGCCCCAGGTACTCCACACTTACAGACCACTGCCTCACCCTCTGTGACGGTTTCTGTCCAGTTAGAGATGGAACAGGTTTCTGATGGGAGAACACAGAAACACAGCCACCAACAAAAAAAACATGTTGAAAACTGGTCGGATGGTAAAAATGTTTTAGCTCCAATAGGACAGGTTCATGTATTTTTCTTTTTGACTGGTTATAGAACTTATTTAGGTTTGATTTTATGTGACGACAGATAATTGAATTTCAAAAGATTCATAAATCGAAATTTAAATAATCTTTTCCACAGAAATAGGTTTAACAATTTTCAGAAAATGTTTACATATTTATAAGTTAAAGACAAAACTTTGTTTTCTTTGAAGTGATATTGTGTGAATCGTTTATTTATTTATTTATGGACATTTACAAACACATTGGAAACCAGATGAATTGTGTGTAGGTGTTATAGCAGCCTTGCTAATTTTCAACAGCTGTCTATAAGAGGCTTTTAAAGGACAAAAATAATAAAAAGGAAGAACGTAAAAGAAAAGAAAATTTCAGCGACATTCCTTGTGTTTCTCCATGTGAGCAGCTTTGCCTGGACTGAAGCCATTGGTTTTGGGCTCCATTAAAAAATGGTGAAGTCCATCTGTAATTGTAGAGCAGTGGCAGAGAGTAGTCTGTGTCTAACCTCTACTAGAAAACAGTCCAAATTAAAAAACCTGGGAGATGAGCTGACATGTATGGAGAGCCCTTTCATTCAAAATGAAATAAATAAATAATGTAATCAATAAAGTATTAATAAATATTCCAGCAAATAAATAAATGTCCCTGTGAAATAAAACAAAATCAGTAAAATTATAATACATTTTTAACGTGTTATTAATTTATTTTGTATGAAAGGACTCTCCATAGACATGAACCACATCAGTGAATTTATTTGCCATTTAGAAACAACTTCAACGTTTTATTGTGGTTTAACAGAGCACTTTATGACATTTTACATTAAGTCACTTTTTATGTAAGGTTTGTATTTCCTTTGTTGTAAAATTGAAAATATGAATTTAAGATAAGTTTCCTTCTTTAATACACAGATTACAAACACATAGACACACGTTAAGTCAAAAATATATACCGGTATATTTATAAAGCTTTGCATATTTGTTACAGTGTTAAATGTGGTTTTATTTGAGGTAACATTTATTATAGTTCTTTTAAAATAATGTTTTTTGACAGTTAATTTAAAACGTTCTGTTTATTTTTTTACAGTTTTGTATTCCTCCAGCTGTACCACTCTCCTTTCTTTGGGAATGAAGCAAACAAACCACTGCTGCTGCCTAAAACTCAGGTGAGCCGTGTCCTCTGGGGGGTTTCACCTCAGCTCAGCCTTCTTTGGATTATAACACACCAGAGATTTGATCTTCCTTTTCTTTGATTAAATAAAATAAATTTTAATGCTGCTTCTGCACCAAAGAGTGTTTCCTGACACTTTATAACACGTCAAATTAATTTAAAATGAAAACAGTTTTTATATCAGTGGTAAACTTTAAATTTATGAATCAATGCAATAAAAACACATTTAAAAATTAAAAGATAATACTTGAACGGCCCCTGACCTGTTGGCTCTAAGTAACTGTGGCCTTCTAAGCAATTTAGATTAGTAGCCCTGTTACTAATGTCTCAAAATAAGCTGCATTAAAGCCAGCATTGACTACATCTCCCATAAAGCATGTTGATTATGCACTGGAGTTCAGAGTTCAGAATTACAACTCAACAGTGAGTAAAGCTCTTTTACGTCTAATAATATTTCTGTATTATTTGTTTCACATTTAGTCAGTTGTACACGTAGTATTTTTCAATGTTTATAAGATGTGTTAAAACACTGTTTCTGTGCATAAAATACCATGTAGAGCTTAGTTATTGTTTGTTAGCGGTGCTCAGCAATGAGACGAGGAACATAAGGTTTTGTTTTGTTAAAGTTAAACATGAAAGCTGAAGTTACAGCTGGCTCTTTGAGGGCCACCATAACACTCATGTGACCCTCTGAAAAAGAATTGGACACCCCTGATCTATAAGATCATGTTGCGTACAGAGCTGATCTTTGTGAGGTGTTAACTTTAATGAATTTTGGTAATACACCCCCTGCTCTGTGTTTTGTGCACAGTGTTGATGTTGTGTACTTCCTGCTGCAGGTCATTGACCGAGCTGTGAAGGTTCTGGACCAGATGCCTCCTTATGACACCCATAAGATTGGAGTGGTGTTTGTTGGAGCCGGTCAGGTGAGAACGTCCCGATTGTGCTCTTAATCTCCGATCTTGCACGTGGAATTAATTCCTCCATCCTCTTTCTTCTTCTCAGGTTAACAACGAGGTTGCCATTCTGTCCAACGAATATGGCTCGAACCGCTACGCCGCCCTCCTGACTGGTCTGGGCAAGTTGATCCACCTGAAGGACTGTGACCCTGACCAGATCTTTCTTGGAGGACTTGACCAGTATGGAGACGATGGAGAGTTCACCTACTGCTGGCACGATGACATCATGCAGGGTCAGTGCAGTACTTACGGTTTATTTTCTCCCATCCAGTCGACACTGAGTTATAAATAAAGTCCTGTCTTTGCAGCCATCTTCCACATAGCCACATTGATGCCAAACAGAGAGAGCGACAAGGGCTGCTGCAACAAAAAGCGACACATTGGCAATGATTTTGTCATGGTGGTGTATAATGACTCAGGAGAGGAGTACAAACTGGGCACAATAAAGGTAGATGTTCAAACACAAGGTATGATCAAGTCTGCAGTTTATTTTTTGTACTTTATTACAAAATCTCTGTCTTTTTCCTGTAGGGTCAGTTTAATTTTGTAGAAGTCATCATTAAACCACTGGATTATGAATGCAACCTTGTTTCCCTCCAGTGCCGCAAAGGTGAATTATTTACTGTTTGCAGTTTTTTCCGTTTCTCCTCAGATTATTTTGTGTTCATTCTCCCTCCGTTCTTCTTTTCAGATCTTGAGGGTTTAGTCGACACAACTGTGGCGAAGATTGTTTCAGATCGCAACCTTCCACTTTTAGTTCGACAGATGGCCCTACATGCAAACGTGGGTCCTTATTTCTTCTTTCTGCATCTACTGTATTTATTCAAGTATAATACGTAAAATTAAACCCATAAAATCATCCATAAAGTTGGGGGGGGGGGTAGTACTATACTCGGATAAATATTTTTACTTTTGTATTTTAACCGAAATTTAACCGAAACTAATGACTTTAGTGTGTGACCGAGCTACTCCTGGAACAACAACAAACATGTTCATCTGTAATGGCTGCCGTCTACCGGTGTTCTGAAAAAGTTTGTATCCCTGAAAAAAGTTTCCCCACCAGAGGGGGCGCTTGTGAGTAGGAAGTAATCTGCTTTTCCCCCACAAGAWGGTCCAAATCTCATGTGAAGTCTCTGACTTTTGTGTTGGCGCCTCCTGGTGGACTATGTGTAAAATGCCAGAATTCATATGATGCTGCTACAGCTGATATATTTGTTGTCAAAATACCTTTTAGTACATATGTTGTTAAAATAAAATGAACAGTCCAATGATCATTTACTGATATGTATAAAGACTGCAAAGGCTGAAAAATCATGAAGTCTGTATGAAATTGGAGGTAGTTTGATGATTAAATTTAGTATGCTTTTTAAACTCCAAAAAGGGGGGGGGGGTCGTATTATACATGAATAAATACGGTAATTAAACACGAACACGTATTTCACTTTCTTTTTTCTCTTTTTAGATGGCCTCCTTGGTGCATCAGTACAGAGCTAATCCTTCTGATGCGTACGCTTCCAAGTGGCTCGCAAGATTACGACACATAAAGAGGATCAGAACCAGAGTAAGACAAAAACCCAAGAGTTGTTTTTTGCTGTCACTTGTTGCCTGCCGCTGAAAGGCGAAGGTGGGCAGTGTGATGATGTCTCTGCTTGTGTTTATTACAAAAAAAGAAACAAAACTTTTAAAGCATTTCCCTCAACCTTATCTCTTTTACTCCATCTCAGGCTCAAGAAGACATCCAGTCTCGCTCGACTCCCGGAATCTCTTTGACCCAAGGACACACTCAGCAAAACAAGTCGTTTCAGCAAAACCCGGCAGCACCGAACCCTGAGGCCTCCGGGCAGAGGAAGAGACTTGTGTCAACAGTCGATGATTTCACTGATTTCGTTTAACTCTTGTTGGTCGCTCTGCCAGACACATTCACACAGACCAGTGATGTTTGTGGCTCAATTAATGTATGAAATAAATGATCATTAAAAGGATCTGGAATGGGGAGTTGGGTTTCTTTAAATCCCTGTGAACACAATTAACAACTTGCATAAATGCAATTGTTACATTCACTGTTTAGTCATCGGTCCAGCACGTGTTTCTGTAGTCCCAGTTGTTTGGAGCTTTATTTTAGCAGATATTACTAATAAATTCAGAGAGCTAAAAAAATTTTAAAATAAAAACTGAATTGGAAATTATTTTAAAGTTTTTACTCTGCCTACTGGACATCCTGCCTAATAGATAGTCTCATGTTTGACCCAGATTGAGTTAAAAGAAAACAAGCTTAAATGCCCTGTCACACTAGCCCTCTGGTGCATGAATTATGAAATCCTGAGTCAATATGTACAGCGGGTAAAATAAGTGTTGAACACCTCACCATTTTTCTCAGTAAATATATTACTAGAGGTGCTAATGACATGAAATTTTCACCAGATGTTGGTAACAACCCAAGTGATCCATACATACAAAGAAATCAAACCATAAATGTCCAGAAATGAAGTTATTTGTAATAAGTTTGAAGTCCGTGCTGTCCAATCC